ACAGATGATAGATATGAAACGCTTGATGGTGATGAAGCATCAAGTGATGGCATCAGTAGTATAGTACAGGGTCAACAATAAATAGTTAGGAAAAGAAAAGAAACCCCCCTCCAGGCTGTAACAGCATCTTGACTTGCAAAACAAAGGACAGCATCACCAATCACAGTCTCTGGCTGGCATTACAACACGCTTCTTCCACAGATAAGCATACTCCTCCTAACTGGGATGTCCAAGATAATTTGCTGATATTCAGAGGACGAGTCTACATACCCAAAGACACTAACCTTCAACAGGATCTCATTCAAGAAGCCCATGATTCCCCTACCACAGGACACCCTGGACGATACAAGACTCAGGAGATCCTCCAAAGAACCTATTGGTGGCCCACCCTTGTGCGTGATGTCAGTGAATACGTCACTGGTTGCACAACTTGCCAAGAAAACAAGGCCATCACATATAGAAAATCACCGGATCTAGTCCCCATCATGACAGAACATCACTTTCCATTCCAATCTATCACCATGGACTTTATCACGGATCTTCCTCAGAGCAACGGCTTTGACAGCTGTCTAGTGGTCACTGATCATGACTGTACCAAAGCCTCAATATTCATTCCCTGCAACAAGACAGTTACAGCATCCGAGACAGCTACCCTGTATCAGAACCATGTCTTCTGATGGTTTGGACTACCTGTCAAAGCTATCTCCGACAGAGGACCACAGTTCGCATCACAAATGTTCAGAGAACTATGCACCAAATTAGGCATCAAACAGAACATCTCTAGTGCATTCCATCTGCAGACTAATGGACAGTCAGAGCATGTCAACCAAGACTTGGAATTGTACCTTCAGATCTTTTGTAATCACTGAGCAACTGACTGGACAAGTCACTTGCCACTAGCAGAATTTGCGCACAACAATAGGTATCATGATGTGATCAAGACATCTCCTTTCCAGGTGCTCATGGGTTACCAACCTCAGCACAATATTCCCACTGTGGGAACAACTGATGCCCCAGACATTGCTTCTAGACTCACCCAGCTAGTGTTACAGCTTGGAAGGGGGGGTTTCTTTTCTTTTCTTTTCTTTTCTTTTCTTTTCTTTTCTTTTCCTAACTATTTA